GTAAGTAATCAAGTAATTGCATCAAGTACGTTCTCTAGGATTATTGATGGCGTTTAATTAATGATACATGTGTTTTCCGAACTATTTTAATACAGTGAGAGATGTTCTTTTAGATACAACCAAAGTCAAAAGTGTAATATTGTAAAATATGAGTAATTATCAGCTCCATTTATACATATAGCTAGTAACATGTGAGTAATTACTTGTAAAGACTATATACACAAGTGTGCGGCCTTCATACCAATCTATCATCATCGCTTGTAGTTTCCTTTGCACAACTTTGTGCAATGGGGAAATGCGTAGTCGTGGAAGTGCAGCGTATGAAGATCCGAAGATCGAATCTAGGTGAAGAACTTCTAAAATGGTTCTAAAGCAAATGATTGGAATCGATTGTTTTTTGAATAACTCAATAAAGACCTAGGTAGTTCGGGTTTTCACTATTCAAAAAGGACTGCGACAGCCTATTTCGTGTAGGCAAATATCAAATATCAGTGTGTCATATATGTGAAAAAGTTCCTTTCACTTAAAACTGTTGTTGTTGTTGACGCCTTGTGCAGTTAAATGTGACTGTTTTATTCCCAGACTGTTTTATTCCCAGACTGTTGTATCTTTTACAGGAGAAGAAAAGAAAAAAAGAAGAATTCTCTTTCCTACATAAATATTCTTCATCTTAAATAGGAAAAGAAAAACAAAATATAGAGTATAATGGGAAATATTCCTTCAAATGTATTTCTCAAATCTTGTGACACATCATAAGAGTAAGAACAATATTTATCTTCTATGATGATATGATAAGGCAAATACGAAACCAATAAATAGCCATGTTTCTGGGATTGTATTCAAATATTATCTTTCAACAACTTGAAGTCATACCATACAAGAATGCAGCTATATCTGTTAGTAGTCGTACTCTTATTGTTCATTCATCATGTATCATTAAAACCAATTGATACAAAAGATGAGGTGTTGAAATATTTAACTCAACTTGGTTATAGTAAATGTGAGCCAGAATCGAAAGTATCATGTAGTATTGATTTTTCGTCTATTCTTCGTGATTACCAAAAAACATTCGGTTTGCAAGAAACTGGTCAACTTGATAAGCCAACAAAAAAATTATTGAATAAACCAAGATGTGGCAATAAAGATAGTCCTGTATCATCATCATCATCATTGTTAGCGTTAAGGAATTCTAAATGGAGCAAAAGTCATTTGAGATGGACATTACGCAATTCATCATCACGAATTTCTCATGCACAATCGCTCAATATTATACGAGATGCATTTGAACATTGGACAAAACATATACCATTACGTATAGAACAAGTTTGTGAAGCGTGTGAGGCTGATGTTGTGTTTACTTTTGGTCCAATAGATGGTCCAAGTACAACGTTGGCTTATGCACATTTTCCAGAAGATGGACGAGTTCATTTTGATTCAGATGAAAATTGGATTGAAAGGTAAGGTTTCGTCCATTACATGTGGAAATTTCATCTATAGTTGTTGACCATCATTTTTAGATTCGATCATGATGGTACAAATTTATTTCTTGTTGCTGTACATGAAATTGGTCATGCACTCGGTTTAAGCCATAATAAAGAAGACACGAAATCAATTATGTATCCAATGTATCAGTTGATACCAAAGCGTGATATTCTACCAAATATAGACCGACAACGGATTACTGATAAATACGGAGGTAACAATATGAATCTTTTTCATTTAATCATACCCAAAGTGGTGTATCTCGACCACTTTGGAATGGACTTCCAACTATCTCGTATTCCTAGCAGATTGATATATTAACTTTTGAAGAAGTTCAACAGACATTCTTTTCAGACATGTCTTTTTTCTCGAATTAACAATTCGGAAATAGCTCAGAAGTATCATTATCATTTTAGCGTGTAGTTCAGATGGAGGGTCAACATTAAATGAAGGAGTATTGAATGAAGGGCAAACGTTGCAATCAAATAACGGCCTTTACAAAGTTTATATGCAAACAGACGGTAATCTCTGTGTTTACACTAGAGACCATGCCGTTTGGTGTAGCGGAACACAGAATCATTCTCCTGGTCAAAATCCGTTTCGTTTAGGAATGCAACCAGACGGTAATTTAGTTATTTATTCTAAACGTGGTCCAATATGGGCTTCCGGTACCATGGCCCAAGGTAACGGCCCATATCAACTAATTATGCAAGATGATAGAAATTTAGTTTTATATGATGGAGATGCAAAGCCCCTATGGGCATCAGATACAAAGCTCGCATGATGATTCCACGCCAAAATTCACACGGCCAAAATTTTCTCAGATCATTCGAGAGATGGTGGCATTTTAATATATGGTAAACTTTGATCTTAAAGTTAATTTTGTTTTTATTTTTATATTTTATTGTCATGTATTGTACCGGGTGGGTCGAAATAGCCTTTCTGGTACTTTGTACGTTTCTTAAGTACATGCTCATTTTACAACAGGTTAGAGCCGAAGCCTTCAGCCACTCATAGACGACCTAAAGGAAGATGTCAAAGGCTATCTCCACCAGGAGAAAGAAGGCATTTTCAGTGAGTTTGGAAGGCAGGATCGGTCGGCCGAAAAAGAATCTTTTCCCTGGTGGCCACGCTTCACTGACTCTCTGAGCTATTTACCGTACCCAGTCGGTTATCCTCAGCAACTCACTGCAAAGCTCAGAAACTACCACGCGGGAAAAGAAGCGGAACTTAGTATCATCGACGAATTTAAGCAGGACTATACTCCGGACAGAGCTGTCTTCTGATACACCCGTAGCACGTTTCTCTACCGTCTTCTCAACAAAGCGCTTCGTCAACATAACGTCGAGCTGATGTTTCTCTTCGGCTTTTTGCTGCTAGACATAACGAGACAATTCATATCGGAATACGAAAAGTTTAAAATCACACATGCAGATCGGCCTGTCGCTCATGTATTTCGCGGGCTCCTATCGCGGAGAGAATGAGTGCACTTCAGATGCAGAAATCCACCTTGCCCAATGAAATAAGCGTGAACAGTTTCTCGTCAACCTCGCTCGACCGCAATGTGGTACTCATGTTCCTTCGATCTCTCGTGTCAATTCCCAATGGTTTCGTGCCTGTGCTCTGGGAAATCGAGCTTGACTTCCGTCGCAGCTCTCGACTGTTTGCTGACATATCACACTTGAGTGCATTCCCCAATGAAAATGAATTTCTGCTCATGATTGGCACGTTCCTCGCGATCGAAGAGATTACGTATGATGCAGAGGAGAAAGTCTACCAGATGAAGCTGAAATTGACTGAGGGCGACTTGGCGGTCAACTCTGACTCCTTCTATACAGACATGACTTTCAGAAGAAACTTGAAGCAGTCCGTCAACACAATTGCAGGAAGATTCTTCCATCCCCTCAGATGGACCTTATTCTAAATGCGTTGGGTCATTTATATCCGTGGAGAAAGGATGGCTCGAAGCGGAGAGATTACTATTCCTCGGAAATCTTGGGGAAAATGATGAAGCTGTCATCAACATACACTAAAATTTCTCATCGGTGTACTAAACACTATCTTTGTTATCGATATAATCGACAGATATTCGATGAAAATACACGCGTACGGAGCATTTTTCTTTTTTTTTCAATAATTATGCTGAACATAAACCACGCTAAATGTATTTTCTTTATGATGAAGCGAGCGTATGACAGACCCACTCTGTTTTTCAATAAAAAAAATGGCCATTTATTCATCGTTTTTTCAGCAAATGAATCACACACATGCCTATAGAATAATATTTTTCTTAAACTCAAATACGAGAACAAATTCTATTTGCATCGAATGTTCAGTTTAGTCAGTATGAAGAGATGTCCAAATTTTGCTGGAATCATATGACTATGATGTTCCGGAAGGTGATCAAGAAAATTATATTGGTCACAAATTAATGAAATTTCTAAGATCAAAGTGAAATCCATACATTTTACTAACTTTAATCCGTGATATTGACAGCTCTATATGTGGAAAACTAAAACGGATCTTTTTGTGGAAAATATATGAATATATGGTACAGTTGCTGTACTTCAGATAAGTATAGAAAGTCGAACGGGTCTTCTCTAGTTTATTTTAGTTTTAAGTCAAGAAGTGGGCAGAATATAAATTCTCAGCCAGCATTGTTTCTTTTGAATATAGAATAAATTTCAATAAAAATATAAAATTTTGCCTTTCCTTATCTTGTTCGTTAAAAAGAAATAGCGTCCTATATACATATATACGAGCCATGCTGTACCACGCAATCGATTATACTGATTCCATTTCGAAGGTTAGGATACCTAGTATTTGGTTTTTAGTCAGAAATTTTTACAAACGATACAGTCTTATAGAGCAGTGAGCAAAACAAGATATCTCCCAGCTGTCTATGCTTTTTCAACGGAATATGTTGGCTGTTTTCCCTGAAAATTTCGTGCTTTTCACCTGTTGTACACCGACTGCAGTTCGATGAAAAACGTCATTGACAACTGAGAGACATCTTATTTTGCTCAGAATGCTTGGCTCTATAAGACTGTGTCATTTGCAAAAATTTCTGACCAAAAACCAAATACTAGGTATGCCAGCCTTCGAATTTTACAGAGATCCTGTTATCAAGTTTTCTAATAAAATGGCGATATGTACTGCATCTGGTAGAAAAATCTCCCGGCTTTTACTGAAAAATCAAAAACAAAGGAGTTCCTATGATTATGAAATACTGTACTGCATATATAACACTCAAACGCTTCTTTTGTATATCTTTGTTGACTGGATCCAAGGACTGAGAAATAGGAATTAATCAAATTCCTAAAACTAACATAAAAACATACATAACTCCCAAGGATTTGAGAACCGACCATCATTCACTTCATATTTCCTCGACATTTCCTAGATAATCCCTCGTTAGGCACTAACCTGACAAGAGAATAACATAAATATTCCATCCACATTTGTTTCTCTATTTCTCAAATTCTTCGAAGGAAATGAGCTCATGACGATACCTAACTTAAGGAACCGGGGAAACAAGTAGAACTCACAGTCAATTCCCCGTCAGGAAACTGACATTTTCTTTATACTAATACACAAAATCCACTGCAATAGCAACTATAATGCGAAACATTTCTTTGAAAAATAAAACTAATGGCGCGGAACCAAGGAATTGAGCCATTTCTGCTGACATTTCCACAGTGGGCATTCAAGGGGACATTTGGCCAAAAAGTCGAAAATGAGCTTGTTCAAATTTGAACCGTCAGACATGTAGCTCTTGAAAAGGGCTATCGAATGGTGTATAATGATCGACTGATAAT